TCCTCGAGGAATTTTAGTAATCGAGGTACTCGAATCATTCGAGGAATCGTTTCAGCCCTAATTTATACAGCACATTTCAGCATCATGGCAGCTCAAAGTGCTTTACATCATAAAGACATAAAAATCAACAATCGAAACATTACATTCTTCCGTCATTACACATCAAAATGTTGGTTAGTGTTGCATTTACCACGGTCCAAAAGCAATTCTGAACAGATGGGATTTTAGTATTGATTTAAAGGCACTGTTTTACAGTTTTCTGAACGTTCGTTCCAGATTTGTGGTGCATAGAAGCTGAATGCTGCTTCTCTTCGTTTGGTTCTGGGGATGCAGAGCAGAACCAGATCCAGAAGACCTGAGAGGTCTGGAAGGTTGACATGACAACAGCAGATCTTTAATGTATTGTGGCTCCTAAGCCGTTCAGTGATATATAAACTAACAGTATTTTGAAGTCTATTCTCTGAGCTTCAGGGAGCTGGTGTAGGGACTTTAGAACCGGTGTGATGCTCTCTAACTTCCTGGTTTTAGTCAGAACGACAGCAGCAGCGTTCTGGATCAGCTGCAGCTGGAGGATTGATTATTTTTTAAGGCAGACCTGTGAAGACGCTATTGCAGTAATCAATGCAACTAATGCGACATTAGTCCTCTAATCCTGAAAATGTTCTTCAGGTGACAAATCTGCGATAAAATATAGCATAAATCAATATGTGATTTAAAATTTTAGGCATCAAAGTCAGGTGAATTTTCTCCATCTGCCATAATAGGAAGGGATCAATATTCAGTTTCTTTATAAAGTTTCAATAAAAGGTAAAACCTTCGCAAAAATTTATTTGCAAAAATGTTAGTTTTTGTCATTTCAATATAAAGCAAATGGCTCCATACCTAGAGCCTATATAAGGTTTACAATTAACCACATGTTCATAAGGAGCAGAGTGCAAAGCAGCAGCACCGTCATAGGCTTTAAATTTCTTCCTGGAGTTAACTTACATCTCCCCTGACCCGCGCTCACACGTATCATTGTTGAAGTGAACTCGTTCCCCCTCCTCAATCTCTTAAACGCTACTGTGGTGTGAGCTTACCAGCTAGATTTCTGTCTGTGATATATTAACCATACAGTTCTTGATTGAGGAGGGAGGGGGGGGGGCACCCTCTTTCAAACCAGAGGTTTTACATATCCTGACAGCACTGATCCATCTGATACTTCGTAGGTTCTGAAGCAATTCACTCTCGAGTGTACAGGGCCGTGACACGGATTTTACACAGCCGTTATTTATGAGACAACGATGAAACCAAAGTGCAAAAGCTGTGTTTGAAAAACTAACTGCAACCTATAATTTAGCAGCTTGTAAAATAAACTTTAGCAGCAATGAGCCGAAATTTTGTGAGGCCTTGTCGGCGTCTGTCACCCCAGAGGGATGGCGTCCCCCTCGGCTTCTTTGCAACACCACTTCAGTTCACCGAGTTCATGCAGACTTCTTAACATCCCACTACAGCGTCTCGATCATACTTGACAGGGCCACTGCACCAACTACATCATTTTCTTTAAAAGGAGCAAGCTGGCTCAACCAACAAGTCAACTCCAGTGACTACAAGCTGCCCTACAAACGAGGCCAGTTATATTTCACCAAAACTATATTATCTCCAATGCTAAATTACTTCATGCTACTAAGTAGCGGCGGGTTCCACCGTATGATGGAAACACGTAAGACGAGGAGGTGAAAGCTGTACAGATGATAGCAGCTTTAGACGTGCAGGAAGCCGGATGTGTTGGGCACAATAAAGATTAAACTGAACAGACACAAAGTACTGAAAGGAAGAAGAATAAGAAGAAGAGCGTCAGCATCATCAAGCACGTCATCTGAGCAACGGTGCGGATCTGAGGTATGTCGGCTTATCTTCGTTTTATGGACGTAGAAGCATCAAGTAGTAGAATAACTAACCGGCGCTGCACACAACACACATAGAAACGCTGAAACAATCAAAGTAACCTGAGGTCGGTGTGTGTGTGTGTGTGTGTGTGTGTGTGTGTGTGTGTGTGTGTGTAAACTTGTCATGGCTTGAGAAGAAAAAAAACAACACAAAAACAGTTTGGGGTAGAGTTTCTCCAGGCCTGGTCCACTAATGATTTCCTTCTCAAATTTCCTGTAATGGATAATATTATATTAGGCATGGAATACTCAACGTGATGAGAATGACTACGGTTACAAGGAGAGGGTTTATTGTGTTAGCCTATATTGTGTTAGTTATAGTAAATGGATAAATAACGGGAAGAGGCCCATTTTGCCCGACTGCATCCTCCAACTTCAAGTCTGTTCTGCTGAGTTCAGAAATGATTTTCTTTTTTTCCTGAACACGAGCGAGAGATTAAAACCAGAAATGAAATCATAGACGCTAAAGTGCAAACACAAACAGACAGAGAAGAAGAAGAAGAAGAAGGAGAAGGAGAAGGAGAAGAAGCAAAAACATGGAAACGGATTCAGTATAGATTAGTCTGGCAGAGTGGTGTCGGAATCGGGTTCAATCTCCAGCTGATGACACAAAATGGACAAGTTTCTAAAAGCGTTTTCACTACTGGCTTGGTGACGATTAGAGGTGAACGTTCACAAATGATGAGAGAAAATGTGGCTCTTACTGTGGCTTGCGAGAACAGTCATACCACTCGACTCCTTACATGTCGAATAACGACGAAAATATTCAACATTTTATCTTTGGATTCTATGTGAAAGACCAACATGTAGTGATAAAAGTGAAGTGGAAGAAACTGACCTCTGACTAAGAAGGATGGCCATGCATGGAAGGCAGTTTGTCAGACTGCATTTTATTTATGGGTATCGTATTAAGTTGAATGCCATTGTTTTCAGATTTTTACTTGTTAAAAAAAAAAAGAGATAGCAACCTTTTAGAGCCACAAAAGGAACACTACCCTTTAAAACCAGAGTATAGAAATACCAATTTTAAAACGGTATTTGCTAAAGAACCATAGTTTTACTTTTTATTTCTAGGTTTTAAGAGGAAAAAAAAACAACGAAGAATTAACTTATTTTCCCGAATTCCTCCCAGTTTGTGATCCAATGATAAAACTAATAGTGCACTATTAGTGCTAAAGAATGGCTAAAGATGGTGGTGGCAGCATTATGCTGTGGGAATGCTTTTCCTCAGCAGGAATAAAGAAGCTGGTCACAGTTAACAAGGAAACAGGTGCAGCTAAAAACATTCTGGCTAGCAAGTGCACAAGACTTTACACGGGGCTGATGTGTAAACCTAAACATGCAGCCGGAGATGCAGTGGAACGGTTTAGATTGAAGCACATTCAAGAGTTTGATGTGCAGCGACCTGCAGCGTTAGCCACAGATAAAGTTGGTTCAAAGCAGTATTGACTCAGGGCAGCTGGATACAAATGCAAACCACATTTTTCAGGCTTTCAATTGAAAAAAAAAAGGGAAAAAAAAGAATCATTTTGCTTTCACTTCCCAATTATACTCTTCATTGTCTAGCTCTGACATATACACTAATTTAAGTACATAAAAGCTTATCAATGGGACGTGACAAAACCCTCATGAATGCAGCAGCAGGGAAATGACTGAGAAACCAGTAAGTTGGTAAATATATACCTGAGACTTCATTTCGTACAGCGGAGAGCTGTCTGGAGTCAGCTGAATAGCCTCATCCCACTTCTTAATGGCCTCCCAGTGCCTAAAAAAAACAACACACACACTCATCTCTGTGATTCCTTACAACCATGACTGTCCTACACTAATAAGACACTTTTAACTGAATCAGCACGGCTTTGTTTTACTGTCTCAGCTCAAAGATTTTATATACGTTATGTAACTAAAACACAGTTTGCTTTGTGGATATAATGAGGAGATTTGCGCTGATCATTTCTGCAAACAGACATTTGTGAAACACATCTGAGTCATGCTTCAATTGAATTTGATCCTCTCCCCACAGCAGATCTTTTTTTTTTTCTTTTTTTTTTCTGAGTCCCATTTATATTTATGTCTTGGTTTCAGTTAAGTAAGGATTTCCAAGAGCTCATTGCTTAATTGAAACATAAGTAGATTTGTCGTTTTTAATAGGTCAAACGTTTCCCAGAACAATCTGCGTTGTGCAACACCTGTCCATCGGCCTGACAGAGTGGCAGAGGTAACAAAGGCTGCGAAGGCTTAAACAAACAGACAGGTTTCTGCAGTTTAAAACAGGCTGCAAATCAGAGTCTGCGAGGTAGCAGGGTTGACGACCGCTTGAGAAAAACCACTAAAATGTAAACAGGATTTTCATAAATTTGGCTATAAGACACATCGACAAGTCCCGATCCAGGCGGCTGTCACCACGGGTTTCAGCCGTTTTACATACGTTCGTTTTCACAGCACAGGTTTACTTTTCGGAATCGACATGTCCAATCTGTGAAAAGCGTCACTTCAGGGTCAATATTGACAAGTTTCCCCAAACAGGGGGAAACAAAGACTGAGGTGGAGTCATTAGTTTGGCCTTCTCGCTGTCGTGTCAGCAGCTTTCACCGCTTAAAACGAGACGGATGACCCAAAAAATCCGAAAGCAATTAAGACCACACAATGAGGCAATTAACATCGATCAGGTGAAACAATATCTTCATAAATCATTTGAGTGGATTTATTGGGAAGAGAGCTGAGTGAGGAACTAGAAACTGAGGGAGGGCAGAAACCTCTGTTGCATGAAGGAAAGGAGGAAATTAAGCAATGTAGCACATGAGGCAAGGAACAAAAAAAAAAAAAAAAAGCTTTTCATAATGAATTTGATATTTTTATCAGTCAAAAGTAGATTACAGAGAGGAGGCACTAATTCTCATTTCATTTACAGATGTAAACAAAAGTTTGAAAAAAAAAAAGACAGGAGCTTTGCAGCTCGTCTAAATACAGAAAACCGTAGAGAAATAGGAAGTTGTGACAATTCAACACACAACAATCCAAAGGAAAAAAAAAAAAGAAAAAAAAAGAAGAAGCTCTCCCCTCACATGATGAAGCGTACGAGGGTTACTAGGGTCAAAGTTTTGGAGGAGTTAAAAAAGTTTCTTTCACAACCTGAATGTCGCCAAATTTGGCTTTTGTAGAAGCAAAAACCAGTCAGACATTTGGACACAACTTCCCCTTTAGCTGAACGAGGGAGGCGACATCACTCCTTTTCAGATAAGGCTATTTTAAACCTGTAATTAGCAAGCTATGAGTTGCCAAGGAGTTAAAAAAAAAAAGTTTAGGAATAAATTAGAATTCATAAAAAATGTGTTTACAAACATAAATAATTGCTTCAAAATGTATAAAACACATACAGTTAAGGTAAAAAAAAAAATGTTATGCTCTTGTATTGTACAAGTAAAATTATTTACGTTGAACAAAAACAGCTTGTTTCTGTTAACAAATGAGGGAGGTTCACTCAAAAGAATAAAAAAGAAAATAAATAAATAATATCTGTAATATACATGCTTCCACTTCGCTTGGTAAAAGCGTCTGGACCCTCAGCGAATGAGAAACAATTGGCTGCTGGAAGCACGTTGAAGTTTTAAACGATTTGATTTGGTTTTAACCAATCACTAAAGTCTTCGCTAGCTCCATCACGAAGGAAGCCACGCTGTGAAGCTTACCGGAAATCATATGCGCTGTAAAACACCCCGTGGGGAGCAAGGGCCACGGCATCTTTGACAGCAATAACATGTCTGAAACATTCCTCTGCTTCCGACTTTAGTTGCTCAATATTTAAAAGCGTTGCCGACACGCTTTTAAATCGTATCTGATTATTTATCTTCAGGGATGTGCTGCTGGTTTTTGAGGCCGGAAGGCCCCCAATGGCATCGCCGACTCAGAAAAAAAATACATGTTGATATAATAAATATTAATTAATCAATACATTCAAATATAATATTGAAAAGATCAAATTAATTATTGAATTCATTAAATGTTAAAATAATACAGAATTATAACATATTCCTGTACTGACTCACCCATCAGTACCAGCTAGCAAGGCTCAAACTGTTACAGACAAGGCGACTGGTCCGTATTTGAGTTGCTGTGCAGATTAACCAACCACACCTCAAACCTCATCCTTATTTTATTATCAAATGCAAAAATGTTTATCTGACAAACCTTTTTGTGATGAGTGGTGGCCTTCATTGCCCCAGACAACAACCCTGCAGACAAGCTGCTTTTTGACAACTTTTTTAAAAACATCTTTATAATAACGTGCCGCAATGAAAGCCTTGTGTTTTTACTGATTACGATGAAGTCAGAAAACAAGTAAACAGAAAGGCAAATATAACTCAAAAAACCTGAGGATGACATCAGAAATACCGAATAAAAATACCACAGGATGAAAGCCAAAGATTTTTGGCAAACTGTGAGAAAGTCTAATGATAATAATAATAATAATAATAAAAAAATGACGTAAAGCATTAATAGCAGGATATTAGGCTGTAAATATGTTTCTTTTTCACAGCAGGGTGCAGCAGCTGACACTCTGGGTGTAAATTATGGTGCACTCAACAAATAAAAAGTAACGGCCGGTGTAAGACACCCACATCCAATCTAGATAAATATTAACTACTCACTGGTAGTAAAAGCACATGAAAATAACTACAGAAAGATTCCCAGAGGCTCAGATCAGACACAAGGCCCAAGGAGCTCCCTGATTACACCAGAAACATTCAAACCTCTGTAATAAGAAACTCACGTCAGAGGCCAATGTTGCTGGAGACGAAAATGCACCGTCACCAACATCCCCGAACAGACAAAACCTCAAATCTCTAAGGAGCCATTAGGCAGCACCAAGCATCATTTCCAAGCAAAATCCACTTTCTCTGGGCAAACGTGGTTACAGGCAGCAACTGAAGGCCACAACATCACGTCCTCTGCGCTAACAGGGTTTGTACAAAGCAACTGTTCTTTTTGACTGAAAATGGCCAATGGGTATAATATGATAGATGCACAATAAAGATCAAGAGGCCTCTGAACTTGGCCCTCCAAAGTAATGCAAAGATACCAAGTGTAATGGTACTGCATTTTCCCCACTCCATTATTGTTACAACACAAATATTATAATGACATCAGGTGATAGAATCAAGTTTCACAGAAAGGTTTTTAAAATCTCCCCCAGGCTTGATCAGCAGGCTGTTTTATGTCCTTTGCTTTTAAAGTTTATGGTTAGTAAAATAAGAGCTATGTTAGCTGTGTACAATACTGCCATCTCCCGGACAAATGGCAACAGCACGCCGTTCTGCCCAAATTTAAATTTTTATTTAATTCTTTGCCTCTTTTGTTTGGGGCGGTAAGCAAAAAGTATGCAACTAAAAATATTTCTTGATTCATTTTACTTTAACAGAAGACTGCTACGGTTGTATTTCAGGCCATCCTCACACAATCAATCAGAAATGTGCATGCATAACCTTCTTAAAAACACATTTAAAGGACTGCAATATTGCACCATGTGATTCGCATCAATATTTCTATCTGTGTGACGCTTTTAAAGCAGTCAGTAAGGTGCCACAATGACAGGGTGCGAATGCATCAGGTGCTCTCACCTGCCCTCCTCAGCCAACAGGGTCCCCTCCTCTTTCAGCCTCTTGCTCTTTGCGGCACAGTCCTCCAGCAGGATCTCCCTCTTCCGCTTGATGGCGTGCAGCCAGTCCACCTCTTCATCCTGACCCGCCTCACCATCACCTTCCGTTCGCTCGTCCTCAGTCTCAAACTGCTGGACCACAGACTTTGACACCTTCTCGCCAATCTTCCTCTTCCAGCCAAATGAGGCCATCCTGAAAGACAATACTTTTATTCTGAAATGCTAGTAAAGAAGCTAATAAGTTGATGTTACAATCAACAAGGTGGCTGATGTGCACAACGTGTTTCAACTGTTTTCAAGTGGTAAATACTGGTTTATTTAATTACAATGTGAAACATGTCGTGAAGACTAATTTGATCAAAAAGCTTTTAGCTAGCGTTAGCATTGATAGCCTAGCTGCTATGTTATAGTTCCGACACAAAAGACATTAGCTTCGCAAAACAACACTTTATTCTGACTGAGCATTAATGAAAGTAGAGCCACTAGAGTGATGTTCAAACATTTATAGGAGCTATGCACACACATACATTTACAGCTGTCCCGCATATATAAACTAATGCGCAAAACCTAGCTGTCGGCCATTGTTTTTAACCTTTAATGGTGCTTTCAATGTACATTGAAGAACCAGAATCTTAGACATTTCGCCATCATTTTACAAGATCAAAAAATATATTATTTGACATGTTTCTATTTATAAATAACTCTTAACAAAATAACTTTCCCTACTCTATTTTGAGTACAAAGGTACTTTCACGTGAAGAAACCTTAAATAGATGCGTCAGAACCATGAACTTAACAAGGTGGTTTTTCGTTTTCCCCGTAAATGCAGCATCACCCGGAAGGTGTTTACAGCTTATTTCAAAATAAAAGCAACCTGTAAATTTAAAGGTAACAATCAGTACTTCTGAAAATGCTTCAAATTTAAATATTTTTACAATATCTTCCGTATATTTACAGTTCATTAATATATTGTTCCTTTTATATGTTTTAGAGAAACTTTACACTTTTTCCCACTGTAATATTTCTGAAAGATAATTTATTCATATGAAAGTCTGAATAAGAGCTATAAAATTTTAAAGAAACTATCAAACCTAATCTAGTTGCCATTATAGAACCATTCATTCAGAATAGCTACATAAAAAGAAAAACAAAAACACTTCCAAACAACAGAATGCAATTTATTAGCAGTTTATTAGCCAGTTGTGTATACAAATGATTCAACACTTTCCATTTAGATTTACACTGCTCAATCTGGTAGGGACTCCCTTCACACCAAACAAAAATAGAGCAATATATTGAAGATATTCAACCAGACTGTATTGAACAGTCTTCTAGGACACTTTCCATAATCTCTCAAAGAGTTACTGTTTTTTGCACACATTCATCTTTCCTACAAAACCCATCATGTAAGGCATGACAAGTTTTGATAATCTAGACTTTCAAGAAACCCTTTAAAAATAAGTACTATTTTAAACCATGTCTACAACACTATAAACTGTCTTTGCCCTTTTTTTTCAGCCTGTGGTTTAAAAACTGAGACATCAAGATCAAATATGAACTGACTAGTTTTGGGTGGAAACCTTTCATACACCACGAGAGAACATGATCACAATTATTGACACACTTTGCAATTTTAGTCATGATCTGAACTTATTTCCGAGTTGTTAAAAGCTAAACACCAGTAACCGGTGACTTTCTGAAAGGGGTGACTTTAAAAAAAAAAAAAAATCAAACTGGAGGTCAGACTTTTATTCATTTTGTAAATAAGTATTAAGTTTTTCCAAAACCAGTTTAAATGTGTACTACTGATGTAAGACTAACAACATAAGCCGTGGACATCGATCTTTAAAAACTGCAAAAGGTGCCAATATTTCTGACCAGCACAGGAATAAAATTTCAAGCATTAAAAACAGATGAACAGTACTAATAAGGATAAGGCAGCCAAACAATTACCACTCACAACTTTTAAGACTGAACAGGAAATGGAATGAGATGTCTTCTATTTAAAGACATACCTGTGACTTTAAGTCTGCAAGCTTAGTGTCCAGATAAACCTTATCAAATATAAATCTGTCACACGTTTACCATCTTAGGAAAAACGTTTCGTCCTTAACAATTTACAGTACCAAATAAATTCAAGTGAAGTCTGGAATAAAATGCCAAATTTAAAAGGAATGTGAGAGCAATTCAAAAATAAAAATCTGAAGGAAAAAAAAATGTGTATGTATTCACCGACGAACTTTCCACATATCTGCTGTTACTGCTACTACTTGTTTAAAATTAGGCCTTGAGGTCTGTATACATGACTGATTGGCATTTCTGAAATGAATGTAGGCCAAAGGCATTTCACTCAGTAATCATATTCATATCCTATACTTTATCCCAAAACATAAAAACTCCAAAATCAATTTGTCCATCTAACACATGAACATTTAAAATGATATATTTCTAGATTTGTGTGTCATAGCAAAACACCTCTTAAATTGGAAAAGCAAGCTAGTTATCTAGAAAAACAATCAAGTATCAGAATAATTGTGATTGAGGGCAACAAAACTGACAAAGACCTAAAAACAGTAAAAAATAAAATAAAGAAAAAGAAAGGAATATATATTCATATATGTCTAATATCCAGCAGTAGAATTTAATGCAAGAAAAAAAAAATCAAATTCTATTACAACCAAAACCTCCTCCACTTAATGCATTGATAAATATGTTCACGCCTTTATATATAAAAATGCAGGGGGACAAACAACTTCAAACAATTGTTTTGTTTTGTTTTTTTTTTACAAAGAGGACAAGATCATGAACATTTAAGTATTTGACAGAAACAAGAAAACCCTACATACATCTGATGAAGCATCCTTTTTTTTTTGTCCCTGACACACTGCAGACATCAAGGGTCACTGCACGTTTTGGGGTCCAACTGAAAGCGATGGGCATGGAAAATAGTGCAGTGCCCCAATACATCTGCAATGCCTCTCTGATCCCTACTAAGAAAAGAAATAAAAAATACAAGCAGCAGAAAATTAAAGAAAGTTGTGCAAAAGTGCTTCCTGCCTCCTATGACTGCCACTCAATTTTTAACCCCCCGCCCACCTACAACCCGTGGCTTCCTCCTCTGCAGGCCCAAAAAAAAAAACAAAAAAACGAGATTTTGTTCTCTGTACTGATACGTGCGCCTTACAGGCTATAAGTACAGACCGTTCAGTGTAATTACTTCCGCATATAGTTGTACTTGGGATGTGGGCATCTGTTGTTAGGACTGACTTGGAAATTCAAAGGCCCCCCTCTTCTTACCCGCCCCTCTGAAATGTTCTGTCCTAGTTAAGTAGCACGTGATTCCTCTTTCTTCAACTCCTACAGACCCAGTCAGCTCGGTATACCTCCCGCTACAGCTCAGGGAACGCCAACCTGCATCAGTGCCATGGAACAATCACTTCATCCTCAGCCTGGATAAAGTGAGCCATGAATCGGTTGCATGCTTATTGCTATAAAGACACTCAGAGAGAAAAAAGGCTAGCGATGATTGTTTTGCAAGCTATCGTGCAAGTAGTTTAATAAGATTTGCGCACATCTCAAAGAACTCGATGGTGTGGCTCCCCGGTCGGGGGGCGGGCGTGCTGTCAGCGCCACCCGACGAGTCGACGGATGAGGTCAGAGAGGAACCTAGGGAGCCTTCGGCGGTCTTGGTGGGCTGCACAGTGCTGGAGGTGGCCGAAACGTCTGCTCCCTCTGCGTCGCTCTTTACTGTGGCGCGGTGGTTGCCCACGGACCCAGAGCGGAGAGGGGTAGCAGTTCCAGATTTAGTCTCCAGCATGTCATCTGATCGGCACAAGAAAGGCTACGTTTAACAAGGAAAAAACTACAAAACTGACAAACACACACACAATAAAAGATTTAAACTATTCTCCTGAGAGATTAACAGCACTGACTAGCAAGGGTGCAACAATATCAGCAACTGCGAAATACTGATTAGAATTTGTCATAAAACGCATACTGTGAGGTTTGTAAAATCTTCTTTTGTGACAAAGAGATAGGGGGAATCTTTGGTTGAATCCCACAGGACACTCCCTACCACTAGCAACCCCCTCCCTCCATCCCTTGGCATTTCATTCAGGAAGTGGTTCACATGCTTTACTGAGAAATAAAGCATTCCTCCAAACAGCATGATCAGTTCTCACTAATCTCTATTACATAAATATATATCCCCATATGAGTTGCATAAACAGTCCAGCAGCAAATATTTGTTGTTTTGCTGGGACAAAAAGATGACTTTAAATAAACCCAGTTGACAAAGTACATGGATTTTTGTCAATGTTATACCAATACACCAACACAAACATATAGTATGTGTTATATTGTCTTAAAATAACAGACTGTAATGAGAATACTAATCTTGAAATATGTTTGGAGTACACTGATGTGTGGTCTGACGGCAAACATACCGAAGTATTCAAATCTTTATAAACTTAGTATAATCATGTTTCATTAGGTTTCAGGATATTTTCTTTGCATATATCTTAACAGAAATTAGTTTCTTTTTTGCTTGTTAAGAAAAAAAAATGGCATTCAGGCTTAGTTTTCCAGAAAAAGTTCTAGTGAATCTGGATTTATAGGTATCACTCTAATAACCAGCATTTGCATTCAGTTTAGACCCTACATCTTTTGCAATAACCAACAATTTATATTTTTAAGCTGCTAAGCTGCAAGAGCAAGATTCTTCAGTCTTTTGCAAGAGGTCAGCTTTTATCATCCCCTAGTGGTTTTCTAGCATCCTTTGATGGCAATCAAAGGCACTAAATCGCACAAGAGGTTTCCTTGTAAAAATCCAAGCAAGACCGACCACACATAACTTTATAAAAATTTGCCCTTTGCTTTCAAAACATTAAGCTTTCACAACATGTTTTTTTTTTTGGCACGATCTACAATTGGACATTGCTAACACATCAGGTCAGCCAGGGTCAAATTTTAGCCTCGTCCCCTTTAAACAGCACGTCTGTGGCGTTTCAAACTGCCCACAAAAACACTCCTAACATTTTCGTTTGAAGTCGTTGCCAAGTCCATACAGACAACCAAAAGCCCTCGTTTTTCAGTCAATCATTAATGAAGTCTACACTAGAGCAGCGCACTGCAGGATACGAGTCAGATAAACAACCCAAATATATACAGCTCAGGTTTTGCTAAGATAGCTAGGTCAACATAAATATGCCATTAATGTGCTATATTTTTATTAACAAAAAGCAGAGTTAATTAGCTCAATAAAACAAACATTTAAAGAACAGACAAACACAGGGATGAGTACTTTTAAACCATTTTCCATAGAAGTGCAGCAGATCTTAAAGGGTTAATGAGTAAGGAAATGCTTTAACATGGGTGTCAAAGGTCAAAAATACAAAGTTTCTTTCCATTTCTTTTAATTGAGGTTAAATGTTTGCATCTGTGTTCACAATTACAAAAATTTTTTTTCTAATGACTGAATTAAACATCTCGTCCGATGCGTGCCATCTAGTTGAATTAATTAAAGACGAAGCGAATGGCGCATTTTAAATGATAAAAGAGTGAGATCCACAGCAGCGGGTAAAAAGTAGAGAATGCTGTGAAGTAAAGTGGAAGTTTAAGTGCTTTTATTTTGAAGAACATAACATTTTTAGTTCTTCAAAAAAAGTTTTTTTTTTTTTTTTTTACTGACCCAAAGACAGATTCTTTACTAAGTTCAGTTTTTCAAATATGCATTTGTTCACTATCATTCAGACACAGCTAAAACAAAAGAAACCCTGAACATTATGAACCCATATTAGCTCGATGTCTGCAAATGTTCCTGGCTAAGAAATGAAAAGCACCCATTTGCTGCAGAGCACATCTATGTTCCCCTGCCTGACTGGTGATCAGTGGACAACTGATACCTCTATTGAAACGAGAGTCTAAAACCTCGAGTCCAAGAGTCAAGCATTTAGAGTGTAAATATATACCCAATTTCAAACCAATTTTTATGGCTCGTTGCTGCGACTTGAGAAAACATATCTGACTCATCAATAAGTCCACAAGCTGATGGCTAGTATAAGTGGGCCCTTGTGTTTCCAGATTGGCGTAAAAATTTGGCCATCTTCTTCACAGGAACAGACAATCTTACAAAATGCAGCTTTAGGTTGAGACATCTTTAGGTTTGTGCGGAAGACTGAATGAGGTCAAACACAAACTAATACCGTCCTAATATGCAGAACTGAGTGGAAGAACTTACCATCTATGCTACGAAAGTCAAGGAGGTAGGTTCTGCTGTCCACCTGGTAGAGTTGAAGGCTCATCTTGGTTTGCATTCCTGTGATAGGATTCTTCCTCCTCACACGCAGATAATATGGATTAACAACCTAGAAAGAGCACGAAATTAAAGACTGTAAACACACAATAAGGCAGAATCGGTTTATTAAAAACTGCTAACGTTGGACGTTTTTCCCCCTTACCTTCCACTCGTAATCCAGCTGTTTCATTGCACGGCACACTTCGGTCATAATGTCGTTGGGTCTGCTCTGACTGCGGATCCCCAGGTGCCACTTGGCTCTCCGTACGCCTTGGTGCTTGGACTTCTGGGGGTTCAGTTCGTCCAGTGTGTGGCGAGACCTCGGAGGAGGCTCCGCCACGAAGATGGGTAAACGCTCGGGGTGGGGCTTGATGATTCCAGCCACGTCGTCCAGAAAATTGTCGGGCGGGCTCGAGGCCAGGTAGAAATCCTTGGCCTCGCTCATGATGCGCCGATTGTCGATGATTAGGTGGTAGGCCACCGCTAACGGGTCCTGGTGGTTGCGGCTGTAAATGCAGGAGAGAACCTCTTCCTCGGTGCACTCAAACTTCTCACAAACTTCTTTCAAGGCCTCGTCATCAATCATGTTGTTGCTGTAGGAGGGGTCCTCAGGAAACAAGTACTTTGGCAGATCTTGTTTGAACCAATCGTCCTCACTATAGTGGCGAAATGAACAGACCGAGGGGTTGAGACGTGCTAAAGATGTCGTCTTTATAATCCAAAACAGAACATAGGCAATAATGATATTGTATTTTTGGCTTACCGGATCTCTTTAATAGTTGCCCTTTTCATTGGGTCCACTTGCAGCATGTGTTTAAGGAGGCTTACTACTGAGGGGTTCAGATACTGCGGCGTGAAAAAGATCCCATCGCAGATCTTTTTAAAGAGTGTTGGCACATGGTCGTCATCGAAGGGGAGCGTCCCACACAATAACGCATACAGAATGACACCACTACTCCATATATCCACCTCCGGACCGGCGTATAACCTGAGGACAGGTGTAAAAAAAATATATATATGCGAGACTCAAAGCAAAGTTTGACTTTCAGGGCTAATTTTCCACTTGAGAACTGGTTCGTTACCTTCCTGAGATGACCTCTGGAGCAGCATAGTTTGGAGAACCGCAACTCGTTCTCAGGAACTCTCCGTCTGACATCATGTTTGACAAACCTGCACAGAATGTTGAATTGTTAATGCATTAAAAGGTTTGGTGTCATGTTAGAATCACAAACCTCAATTGGAGATGGATCAATGCAATATTTTTTTTTTATTTTTTTTACAAATAAAAAAAAAAAAAATAAAAAGGACAACAAGTCCCCCTCTCTACATTTCTCTTCTAGCAGGCTCAGGGGAGCTGACCAGAGTTTGTGGGAAAATAAAGTTAGCAGTTATAATGTGAAACATTTCAAAGGAAACTCAAAGGCACATCTGCAGTTAATTTTGCAATATTCAAATTTACTCAAGGATTCACAAGCTATTCATCATGTCTCTCAGAATAATAATAAAAAAAAAAAACCCAGCAACCTTCAATCTTCACCTTTTAGTCCCACTTGTTCTTCTTCATGGTGTAATGAACATAAAAGACAGTAATGCTATGGCTCTGTTTGCCAAACAAACAGCAGTAGTAAAGTTCCCGGAGTTTATTTGACCTCATTGTTACAACTCATGGTCAGGCTACCTACAAGGAGAGGAAATCTCCTATCGCTGGCAGCAAGAGTAAATCTGAGTCATAGATAAAACAAATGCAATAACAAAGTAAAGCTGGTGTAAGTTGAAGGTCGAGCTTGGGAGTATTTCCTGTGACAAAGAGGAATTTACCTTCCTCCATTACATATTCAGAACTTTTCCAACTATAGCTTCACGTTTACTCTCACTGTGCACTGACGTTCTCTTTTCTAGGATCAGGCAACATATTAGCCAATTTTCTGGTAAACAAGCCAGAGCTGCTAATAACTGAAAAGCCTGCACTATTATTCTATTTCAGCATTCATGACTGTTCCTAGACTAACACATATCAAACAATGCCTGCTCTTAAAAACATCACGCCAGAAAATGCTTGCAGAGCAACCTGAACCCTCACTGGCTATCCTTTTACTATAACGACAACGGCGCCTCTTATCCAAGCCTGCCAGGTGAAGTGTAGCGTACATACCGAAATCTGCAATCTTTGCATTCATGTGCGCATCGAGCAGCACGTTCTCAGGTTTGAGGTCTCTGTGCACCACCATGTGCCGGTGGCAGTAATCTACCGCTGATATGATCTGCTGGAACAGTCGCCGACTCTCCTTCTCTTCCAACTGATGGATCAGAAATGACCCGTTAGCGTTCACACAGGCCAATCAACGTAAAACACGACAAGTTGATCTACAACTCTTAGATCCTCTTCTGTATTGTCATGTCTTACCTTTCCATTTTTGCAGATGTAATCGAAGAGCTCTCCACCTGAGACATACTCCATGACCATGAAGATATCTGTAGGGGTGCTAATAACTTGATACCTGCAACAACAGTAACGAAAAAGATTAAAATCACATGAGTTATTGACAGCTGAGGAGCAGAACTGACTCAAAACAGCTCAGATGGCAGGAACTTCATTTCATATCGTGCCAAAGAAGAATCAGACAGACATGAATATTTGACTTGACGTGTCAAAATACGTCTACAACTGAGTTTGAGCTATAAAATGTTAGGGAAATTGTAAGATGAAAGCATTTAAATCTAATCCATCATGTTCAATATGTTTTAGGCGCACCTTTTCTTGCATTTTAAGGATGCAATCAGTTACAGCTTAATGGTAGATCAAAGCTTGTAAGATTGTACACCGTTAAGTGAGAACCAGCACCTGGTTTGTGTCCGGTTTGCAAACACACACACACACACAGAGTGTTGTACTGATCTATAACCCCGTCTAAACTATGGTAATGTCACCTTTAGCTCATTTCTAAGTAGAAGCTGTGCTGAATTCACAGAAAATGCTCTGAACTTTGATGCTGTTTAATCGTAAAAACATCAGTAAAAACCAAAAGGCTTTAATAGCAGAAGCAACAAAACCCTTAACGACTTTAATGTGGAATTTGCATTCAAAGCAAAAACAAACAAAAAAAACAGCATAAGCAAATGTCCTTTCTGATATGACATATGATATCAATTATTGAAGCATGTCACATTTGATATTCCCTCCTAACACGAGATTCTGCAGCTGTCTCGATTCATACAGAAACAAACTTTTCTAAACTTATTCTTAGCTCTAGAGCAGTTTGCTGAAGGCCGATATAACATTTGTATTTTTCTTCTCTGTTTTGATACGACTCATTGATAATTTGCCATGCAACACATTTCAGTTCAGTTCCAGTTAATTATGCGGACGATATTTACAGAAGGCATTCGCCCTGCTTCACAAAAGTGGTACTTTGTTCTAAATGCTGCAAAAATGAATGAGAGTTAAGTGTCTTGGAAAGCAGGGGATATCTGATCATCTCGGATGGCTAAGAACAAGAAAATAGGTTGTGATTTTTAACAAGTGGCCTTGGAAATTGCATAGCTAGCTGGAGTTGTGGGTAGCAAATAAAAAAAAAATCATAAAAAGTTTACAAACAACAGAAATCAAGAGTTAAGCTTGGTTAACAACTCCTGATCTGATTTGAAAACGCCTTGATTAGAATCATGAGCCTAAGCATTATATTTAGTTTACATGTTTTTGTAATTCAAACTTTTTTAAAATCTCTGATCTGAATTTTGTTTTGTACAAGTGGCTGAATGCTGGTGCCGTTTCTATGTCAACCAGAACATCCGAATCCTTTGTGTTTAAATAGAAGGTAACTGGGAACAAGGGAAGAAATGTATTTGCCTCCCATCTAAGCCCTTAGCTTAGCTGGCTTAAGTGAGTTGCTTAGAGCTGGTGCTCCTCTTCCTCATGCGATACTATTAAAGTGGATGAAGGAGGACACATTTCAGGTGGCTTCTATCGCTGATTTCTTTGAAAGATACCCCTCACATTCAACAGATATTAAGCAACCAAATGTGCTTCTTTTTCAATCAGAGTATGTTTACATATCAATCTGACACTTTCTTCTTATAAAGCTGCACAATCTAGTGAAATTCAATAGTTATCACAGTCTTAATGTGTACAATGTTACATTTGCACAGGAAAGACTGGACACAACATTTGATTGGATATTATATTTCAGGTGATTTAAAATCTGCCTGACAATAATTGGCAGATTGGATTAACTTTTATTTAACAATAAAAATGCACTTTTATGTTTTCCTCATATCATGCATCTCCAAGTTTGAAGCTCATCATTAATCTGAACAATCCAAAAGGAGAATGTCAACGGAGAAATGACACCAAAATAAATTTTATTAAAGCTCAATGTACTGTACTAGGTTTACCTAGTTAGCAAAACATGCCCCTTTTCTATCTGATTTATTTCCTCTGGCCAAAGATATGCCTGTATAAAAATTGCCACCATGATTGTTGATTTAAAATACTAAAAAAAAAAAAAAAAAAAGCAGTGGACCTCTTGAGATAATTATAGGTCGACTTAATCTGCAATAAAATGCCAGTCCCAAATATGATGACATTACAGGTAAATTACAGAAACCAACATGTAAACAGCAGCAAAGCACCTGTACACTTCACCACATATTTTAATGTGGCAGTGTTATGCATTTTTCAGTCACATTTTATAGCAGTATCAAGTAACTATGTCACGTTCAGTTGTTATACAAATACTGTATAGATAAAACATGATTTGAAAGAAATTTTATTTTGCAATTTCACAACTTGAATAGTAGTTGTATAATGATGATTTGTGTGTTATTCATCAAAACCCCTTTATCAAATCACAACTTTTCTCCACATCCCTCTGAGAACAATGCAGCAGCTTTACACTCCTGATTCTGTTCATGAACCTGCTGGTCTTAACCTCAGAGGAAGGCAATTCAAAACATCTCCTGTCTTAAGTGGGCAGTGAATACAACCATTGAAATAAAAAAAAAAATATATATATAGAAATTTAAGGAGTAAGGGGAAAAAATTTATTTAAAAAAAAACATTCAATTGTTCTTCTGGAAGCCCATTTCCACCTGAAAAGAAAAAACAAAAGCCCAACAAGAAGTTTTCAGGTCATCGTTATGAAAATGAAAGTCAGAATTTTGTGTTTTAAAGTCATGGTTACAAATTTTCTTCTGGTAATTATAAGTTTAAAACTTGTAATATTGAGATTTACTCTTGCAATTATGTCTTCAAAACTCGTGATTAGGATATCCTCTTGTGTTTTTATTAATTTGTTCCCTTTTTGGCGGAAATGGCGGAAATGGGCTTCCATACATTTGTCATAGTACTATTGTGTTGCACTGCTGCATTTGCTCTGACACTAAACAGGCCACACCACAGAGTTTGTTCCATTTGCTTCTGCCCTCTGGAAAAGATGACATCTGTCTCTCTCTCTCTCTCTTCCTCTCCCTCTCTCTCTCTCGCTCTAGGATCCCACACACAAAGTTTACATTCTTGTGCATGCATGACATGGAGCCGATATTCAAGACATTTGCCACACCTTGTGCTCTATTTACTAACCCTCTAACTGTAGCCTGCAGACAATTACCCATCAGGCAGGAAGTACTGCAGCAATTTCCTTCAATGTATTTAGATCAGTGCTCCTTTCAGTAACAGAGTATCACTGCTGCATGTAGCAGCATATTGATGAATAAAATAGATTATGGAATAGTCTATTCCAAGAGGTTCATTGGGCTCACTCCCTTATGAAACTACAGTACCCTTTGCAACACGAGTGTGACAGTCGGCTCCGACAGCGACTGTAATATGACTCACTGAAAATATCTGTCATCTTTCCATGTTGGCAGGTACAAATGTTGTGAAGAACTTCACAAATAATTTCAAGCAAGGCAAGGCAAGCAATGTGGTAACTGGCTCAAAAAGCAGCTCTTCGGTGAGTAATTATTTCAGGACAAAGAGGTCACACGGCTGGGGTCGTTGATAATGCACTTTTTGCTCATTAAAATGCACAACAAGAAGGGGGAGGGGAAAGCGCAACGCAGACAGAGAGCGCTGATGGAAAGGGACACGGGGTCAGATGATATCACCCTGACGGATGCATCCTGGAACGCACCATTTCGAAAGTCTGGAAATAGTTCAGTGGGTGGCATTAATGTGGAGGCGGGGGGGATTACGCGGCGGTGAGTGGGTGTGTAATCTAGGACTTACAGTTTAATTATGTGAGGGTGCCTGAAAAGCTTGAGGTTCTGGATTTCCCGGCGGATTTTTCCCACCACGTCCAAGCTGCGGATCTTCTGCCTGTTCAAGATTTTCACAGCCACTTGGTGCTTGGTCAGCTCATGTTGGCCCACTGCGCAACAAGCAAATAACAGAGGGAGATTAGAATTGAAATCAGAAAGCAAGAGCACATGAATAACTTAATAAGAAAATAATTTCAAAACATTAAACAATAGTTTAAAAAAAAAGTTAAAATCTTCTTTTTGTGTTTAAAGATGTGCAACTTGTTTTATTTAAATGCAGCAGACAGAGGTCAATTGTTTATTTGAACTCATCCCCGCAATCCACACAAGGAATCAAAGTTCAAAGTTTACAGCCTTTTAAAAGCCAACTTCTGCGCCGCTCCTCAAAGTCGTATTTTGTTTCTTCTTGACATCGACTCTTTAAGGCTGAGCTTTGTTGTGGCATTTTGCTTGGATCGGATTTACTGCTACTAACACATGCACACATTTTATTGCACTGTCATCTGCAACACATTGCAAATGTCAAAGTAGAAAGTATTAACTTGGATACGCAAATATCTCAATGGGGAATTTAGTGAAAAAATGTTCTTGCTTAATCAGTTGCTGCTAGAGGATTATTCCAAGACGACAGCAAACAAAAAAAAATTACATTTCAATAACTGATCACATAGTGGAACAACAGAGCAGTTTAGTCGTGCTGACAAAATGTTTAGAGATACAAAGAGGAAATGCCAGGTCAACTTTGCCAGCTGTGATAAGAGACTGAGGAGTTGTAAACTTAAAAATCCCTGCTTTTCTGATCAGCAAATACCACAGCGTTTTAATTTCTACCGAAGTGAAGTGATCAAGAGCTGATTTCAGAAGTTGCAAGGAAATGCTGAAAGTATTGCAGCAAAGTTGCTTGGTTTTTGGTCCGTTTGAGCTTTTGTTCTCAGCCCCTCATAAAAACATGTGCCAGACTATTTATAACTCTTTTTGTAACATTGTATAAACAAAGCAGGCCTTCTGAAACCATTTTACAACAACTACCACCTAAGTAAACAGGCCATTTCACACAAACCTTGATCACAAAATCCAATATGCCTGTCACATATTTGTTATCAAACAACAGACGCAGTAATAAAAGATTTATTTGTACTCCGGACAGCAATTCTATAACACTCTGTGCAACTTTGTAAGTGAACATCCTTCTTTACTGCTTAAATCTGAATACCATTCACACAGGGCGGCAGCTCCAATGCACTAACACCGTATTTTCCTTTCATCAGCTACAGGAACTGGGGTACCAGGGAGATGAGTCACTGAAAATTAACTGACTATAAACAGACCAGCTGTTTGTTGCTGGTGATAGGTCCAGGTTTATAATGTGTGTCGGGGGGAGGAAGCACAAATTACAGCTAACAAATCCCACCTCTGTCCAAACTGAGTAGGTAACCTCTGTTAATGACCTTAGCTACTACTTGGGTAGTTCTCTGAAAACACTAGGGCGAACATTTAACTGGTTTTGACCGACTCCCTCTCCAAACGCACCTGGAAGCGTGAACATTTCCTCAGCCGTAAAGGTCAGCTGAAGTTAGCACAGTGTCACAAGAGTAATTTTAATGTTTGCAAACAGGAAAAGGGAGACGAATCAATAGCAGTCATGAAGATTTACTTCAGTCCCAACAGCGACTTGTGGATCACTGGGTTAGCTAACAGCGCTATTACCGCTAACTAAAACTATTGTGTCAGAAATAATCGAGAAGTCTTGCTGGCTCTGTTGAATCATTCAGTTGCTTTACCCCAATATGTGGCGTTTCTCACAAAGTAGTTAAAGCTAGAACATGACAACATATGCGCTACATTTCCGATTTGGCGACAGTTTAGCTCGCTAGCAGGCTAAGTTAGCGGCTAAGCTAAAAGCCTCCATCTTTCAGTCGCCAGGACGCAGAGACGGCAACACATACGAGACATACCTTTAACCTTCCCAAAAGTCCCGACTCCAAGCGTATCACCGAGAATGTAATGTCCGATTTTAACTCTTCCCTCGTGTTTCTGTTTCTCCGTCGCCATCTTCCCGCAGTGGCCTTTCTGCGGGGTTAGCTTGCTGCAGGCAGACACGGACCGAACTCTGTGTGCGTCTCTCGAGCGGCTCCGAATCCGCTCCCCGACGCACGGAGCAAAGAGATCCACCCCGGCACGCGCATGATTCGTCAAAGCCCGTAGGCGTGGTACGCTGTTGCCTTCACTGCACGCACAAAACTCCGAAATTTCAGTTACATATTCGAACCTGAAAAATCCCTTTATTAATCATCTAAATAAATAAATAAATAAATAAATAAATAAATAAATAAAACTTGGTTTAGTGTTTTCAAGATAGAAAACTTGACCAAAAAGTATGACTACTTCTGACACACGTTTGGTGACCAAATAGCCCGGCTTTTGACTCATCTGACAATAAAACCCTTCTGCCAGTGATGGTATCTACAACTTCTTTACATAACTATACAGCTTTAAAAGACAAGGAACAAAGAAATATAAACAACTATTAAAATATTTATAAGTTAAAATTAGTCTAAAACCAGTTTTAAAAAAGTAGAAAATAAAACTTCATACATCAATGCTCATAAAAACTCCATTAAAATGACTAAGGTCATGCAACACAGCATAAGAAATTTCACTTGCAAATCAAGATAGGTTAAACCAGTTGTCTCCCAAATACAGACATGAAGCATTCAAATAAGACCTATGCATCCTGTATCTTTCTACATACTTATCTAAGCAAGTTATCCGTTTCTGTTTTTCAACTCACACTGTCTATTTATCTGCCTGTTGATCTGAAAACAAATTTAGCTCAGATATGCATCAAATGTACATAATGAGGAAGTCAACATTTGTTTGTCCCAAAACAAAACAATCCTTGTTTACATTGATAGTGTGCAGGCGCTCAGTCAGCTCTTATAATAACGGAGCAGGCAAACTCTGCTGGCACATAAATGTAGATCTACAATTCATTTTGTGCAAACTCTATATAGACGGACAAACATTTGAGAAATGAACCACGTGCAGCCATTAAATTAGTAATCATATTTTATTAGTTTGTTGTGTTTTCTCTAATCTAATTTTGAACTCAAAACATTACATGTCAATATTGTTTACTGAGACAACTGTCATTAATTAAAATATGGAGATGTAGAAAAACATTTATAAAGAAACGAGAGCCAGAAGAAAGCTAAGTCCAGCTTGAGTTTTTCAATATTCCAGAAATGCTCCTCAAACAGAAATCTACCATCTCATGGAGGTAGAAGCTTACCCTAATATTGAGGTTGTGCTTTCTGGAGGGCAAATATGTTTCCCTCATCTAAGTTTTAACTTCTCTGCAGATCATATTTTCTGTTCACATCAAAAGCAGCAGAAGGATTTTTAGGTTTTGATCAAGGTGTAAGCAAAAACAAACAACAACCCCACAAGAATGTCTGTTTTTAAGGGTTCTGAGTAAATAAGTTCAGAGGCATGAAGTTTAGACGATGATCAGGATTTATTGACCAATAAAATGAGACGTTATCAGAACCTGAGCCGAGGTGGACAGGAAACTAATCCTCCGTTCTTCTTTCTCTACAACGGAAGTCAGGTACTATTGGATGTATCTAAATCAAGTCACACGATGAGACAATGATCCCAACAGGACTGATCCTGGTTCTGATCCAAAACCTGACCTCCACAAACAGAATCAGAGTACAATCCGTTACAGATTCTACTCTCCGTTACAGATTCACTGTCCTGCCCCAATGAAGAAGACAACGAGAAGGAAACCAAAGAAATGCATCGATGCAGATCAGCTGGAGCCATCGGAGACACAAGCAGCTGCAGCTTAAAGGAGGGAACCACAACTAGCTGGAATGAATAGGGGAACAGGTTTTACAAGCTCAAACAGGAAGCTTAACTCAACTCTGACTCCAGTCTGTCGGTGATGAAAAAAAAAAAAATAAAGTAGAGCCTAAAACGACAATAGGTACCACTAGTAAATAACTTTAGAAAGCATGAAGTTAGAACCTGAACACAGAAACCTCCTGCTAACAAGTGGGGTGTCTCCACAGAGAAATGAATCTAAATCACCTTGGCATTCGGTTTAGAAGCACATTCTTTACTCTATGAGAACAAAATAACCGCACAGCCATTTTTTTATTCTTATCCTTATAACTCCAGCACATAAATCATGTCCTTTCTAAGGATTTTACATGTTTTATATTCTTCTAAATTCAGTGTTGCACAATATAGTAAGTTGGGAAATCTGTATTGGTTAAATCTCATTCCCAAAGAAAGAAATTTCACCATATTATAGATCTGACTGTGGATTTCTCCTTTTGAATACTCTGCCATAACAGATAAGTAAGGTGGAAAAATACATTTAATTGTTATTTTCTCTTTTACATTGTCGCAATGATTGCTTGGAGATTAAACTGAAACTGACAGAAATTGTTTTGATTGCACAGCGCAAATAACAGGTCCTACATTTTGGTAGCAACGTGATTCGGTGGAGGGTTAAAGGCTGTAGCATAAAGTAAAAATTACAAGTGCTGCATTCAAATTTACCCGGCTTTAGAGACACAAGTCATGTATGCTTTGTAAATGCAGGCTTATTCTCTTCAAAAGCTCATGACAAAACCCCAGTTGCACACAGCATTTTTGTTCCTGGAATTATGTTGCCGCCAGTGCAGAGCTTGTTGAAAAGCAGGAGCATGTGGGCATGAGTCCACCTGCACATATACTTTGGATGTCAGCCTTGTGACTCGAAGAGCAGCAAAGAGACATTCTGTTGAAAGTTATTTTCTCCTTTGAAGCCTCCTTCAAACTGTCTTGAACGTCGAGAATTTTTTTTTTTTTTTCAAGAAAAGTGAGCTACCGCTTCACAGAAACATCCTAACATCCTGATCCAATTTCCAGGATGACGGAGCACCTTGTCCCCAGGCAAAAGTGCTACTTAAGTAGCTCAGCCATTATTAGACTGAGATTGTGAGCGTTTTGCCAGGAAATTTTCCACATCACAGCTGCTTTTAAAAAAAAAACTGTGGTCACTTCAAATACAAGGCGAGAAATAATGACTTCCAAGACTTAATCTAGCAAGAAAATTGAGCTCTAGAAAAGAGAATAAGTTCCAAAGAGGCAGATCGAACACTGTAAATAGTTTACAATTAAATAGTGGCCCATTGAGAAAACTCCACGTAGTGTACTGTATAAAATGACAGCATTTATGTTCTCGGACAGCTTACGGATTTCCAGGATGACGGATATGCCACTCTAAACACGCCCGATCTCGTCTGAACTCGGAAGCAAAGCAGAGTCGGGTCCGGTTAGTACTTGGATGGGAGAAAACCTGGGAATAACAGGTGCTGTAAGCATTTTTTCCAGCAGAGGGCGCTGACGCATTATATTCCCCTTTCACCAAATTAGGATTTAGACCTTCACGATCAATGGGCACAGCTGCTACTTTCAAGTGGATTGCCTTGAATTTCTTCATTTGCCTTTCTTGTGTGGCCGCTCACAAAATTTTGGAGTAGGTTAGTCACAATTTTTAACCAGCCTCATCTCTGACTTTGCCTGTACTTATAGTGTTCTCCAAATACACTTGAGAACACTTGTGTTTGTTGGATACACCGCAAGAAAATATGTTCTGCACAGCATATATGCGAGAACCAGAAGCACAATGATGATTTTGTCAATTGCCATCACATTAAAGTTTTTAATGCAATTTACTCTAAGTTCTATATATTGGAAGTACATATTCTCTCATTATATTAGAAATAAGTCAAAGTATCAAATCAATTCAATCATATAGTCAAATTTGATTCCCTTTCAAATAGATTTTAGGCATAAGACAATGGAATCAAATTTAGTCCATAACGTCAACCATCTAAGAGAAATCTAGGTAATTGCATCAAATCTTTGTGCATTAAAAGTTTTAATGTACAAAGTGTATTTTTACAGGGTGAAAAATGTAAGTTACAGGCAGGAATAGCTCAGCTAGGCTGAACTTTTGCTGTACAGCTAAACAGAGAAATGCAAGGCGAGGGATAACCCTAACCCATCCAATAAGAGATCAAAGTTGTAATCACATCTATTTAGGTTGTGAATTTGTGAGCCTCCTCAACTTTCTATCGTTAATTATAACTATCAACTATAACTTAGAGCGATGTAAGGGCCTAGAACTGCTGCTTATTTCAGTGCAAACATTGCAATTTAAAATTCTTTCACACCACTGTCAATTTTTCTGACCTTACTGTGTGAGTTTCTGGACATATTTAGATGTTTAAAGATGAAAGCCATTTTGTTCTTTTTATTAAAATGTGGTGTATCAATCCAATAAGCTAGTTAGATCCGCCGCCATCAAGAGATCCCGTTGTTCCAATTCAGACCCAGCTCATCTCTTTGGCCATTTCACGTTTTCTATGACCTCTGGTTGCACCTGGTTTCTTTCTGTTAGCAATTTGCAATACATTTTCCTCATTGTGTATATTGTTACCACTAATGCTTGTCCTCAATGCTTTCTTTGTGGTTTCATTGCCAGAATTTATCATATGCAACACATTTATTTAAAGTGGCCGTCTTTGAACCAACTATGATCACTGCTAAAGTTGAACAGAAAAAAAAACAAAAAACAAAATTACATAAGAGTGCACCGTTGCTCTTTTCATTCTAAGTGGGATGTAAGAGGTGCAGCAGTGATTTGCTACCAGATTGACTAAACATCGCAGAAGAAGTCCTGTGATAAAGGAAGTAGCTTGGTTCTTTAGAGCCACGAAGGCAGTCGGCCAAGTTTTAAATTGAAATTGAAGGTGAACCGGGAGCCAGTGCAGGCAGACGGCACTGGAATTATGAGCTCTTTTCTGTAATGCTCAGCATCCTCGCAGTCACACTTTAAACCACCTGCAGGTGAGTTACTGGAGAATGGGCGAGGCCTTAAGTGCGTAATAATTTAAAACGTAATAAACCGGAATGCAACAAAAGCGTGAATTATGAGAGAAATCATCAACTTCTGGAGGTCACGACCTGACAACAAACCGCTAAACAGCCGAGCATTAGGGGGGTTCAGAGCCTTGTGAATGTATTCATACCTCTTGTCACATTTCTTGTATAGGGACGGCGCTATCAGCGTGCTGCTCTGTGCTCGTCTTAATGCAGACCACAAAAGTTGAATCATGGCCCCGTCTGACCAGAACACTTTCTGGTCCACATCTTTATGTCCCTCAAAACTTCAAACTTCTAATAGCTCTTTGTTCAAAATGTATATTTTAGTGGCACGCTTGGATAAGGGGCAGACATGTCAGGTATTCCTTTGTCTCCATGATGCTATTTATTTACTAATCTACTCTAAGAAACCTCTGAGGCACTCACAGAACATACTGGGATTAAATTACTCTGGCATTAACTGGCTGATTCCTAAAGGCAACTGGTTGGACTGGACATGTTTAGGATTTTCAGAGTAAAAGGACTCAAAATCCAGGTGCACACCACATTTCAGATATTGTTTATAAAAAGAAATACTGGGAGAGTCAGTTGTAAAGTTATCTGTTGATTTACAACATTTTCTGGACTGGCCCTTCGAGAGTCTCAAGATAAAGATTAGCGTCTGCCAAATTCAAAGACGATGAGCGGTCAAAATATCAATAGAAACATGAACAAAGGTAGGTAGTAAACATAAAATGATTTAATGCCAGGACACTTTTTTGCATTTGTTATGCAGAAGGATAAATGCAACTTTCAATACGCCATTTTAAAAAGTAAAAAGAAACAAGTTAATTAAAAACACAACTGCTTCATTATCTTTGGACAGTTATCCGCCTCCTTTATGAGTCATTTTCAGTGTCCGTCTGCTAGGGGTATGAATAATTTTGAGTTAATAGTAACAGTCCAGCAAAAGTTTGTGTTGGTCAGTGATGCAAAATTCCGATAACAATGCATTGATAGAGATGATAAAGCTGAAAGTTTGAATGCTTTTGCAAAGCAGTTTTTCTGTTATCACGCGTCATCCACACAAAATCGATGCTTTTGCTTGGAGAGTCCAGCAGATGGCAGTGTCCATGCATGGCTTTTAAAAACAGGCAAAGGTGTCACAGACCTTCCTTGAGCATAATGTTTGTACACATAAATAATTTAAAGATATCAATCTGGTTTTAATTGTTTAAAAGGGCTGATATTATGCATAGATGGTGATATTTTGGAAATAGCTGATGATTAATCAACTGATGATCAAAAAAACTCAATAAATCTTGTTTAAAAAGTCGAAAACAAAGAGCAAAATACTAAGATTATGAAAAAAAAGAAGAGCTTAACAATAGAAATTAACTAATAACGTTCAAAACATTTAAAATACTAATTATATAAAACTTATTGGATAAATTTGAGTCCAACATTCACCTTAAGGCAATTGCTATTTACAGGACTGCTTTTTTTCCCCAGCCCTTTCTCACAGTGTCTTGGTATTTTCTCATCCACAGTGGCTCTATAAGCCTCTGACAGTTTATTACATGCAACAGTGGTTATCATTTTAATTACAGAGGTGCTTAATATAATCCTGGTAGGCCCGGCTGTTAGCAGGCTTGTTAGAGTCCTGCTTATTATCCTCCATGCTGTTCCACACCCCAGCAACTGTTCTCCCAAATGAGAGGCAGCGTAAACGGCCCTTACATACCATCCAGAATATAAAAAAGACTGAAACCAATTTAAGGGACTATTTGCAGCTGGTGATGTTCACACAAAGACATTTATTGCTTAATCACTCACACACATTGAAGGAAAATTGCGTAAAAGAAAAAAATAAATTTAAAGCATACCAGTGAATCAGGCTAGAGGGACATTTTGTTGTATGGTAAAATAAAAATATGCAATACGCAGTTTGACATTTTGCTGAAATCACTTTAGTTTTACACTTACTGTTACAAAACTGCCAAAAATGCATAAAGTCTCACGAAATAAATAAAGGTAGCTATCAAAGTTTACAAATGTGAAAATTAAAGAGGTACTGCACAACTGTTTGTGTTGCATTTGCTAAAAAAGTGGGGTTGTGGTCAGTTTCAGAAGAAGTCAGAATCTGGAGTACAAAATAGATACAAAGTTCGTTAGAAGCAATGAAACCACCAAAACCCACTGGGCAATTTTAGCAACATCCATATTGTATCTGCAACCCTTCAGCATGTGAAAGTTGTTCATTTTATTGTAAATTGCCGAAGAAAGCGCCCTTTGAATAAAGCGACAGTCATTAATATTACCTTCCTTCTTCACACAGCAGCATCTATTGTCAATTTATACTTGAAAACAAATAAAATGCATTTTAGAAGTCAAAATTTGGACTTGGAAAGTCCTATCCAACCACAAGATGAGATTCAAAATGGCTGTTACCATTGTGAATGTTGCAAGAGTCAACATGTGGTCCACATGGTTACGCTGCAAAACATGTTATCGGCTTGTGTTGCTAACTGTGAGGAGCCTAGCCACTGGGGTCCGCACTTAGCGAGTCCCACTGGCTTTTCCACTTTAACTACAACATCCTGACCCGTGTGACAAATTGCAGGTAGCAGAATAAGGCAAAATCAACTGACAAGTAGTGGAAAATCTGTATGAACCCATCTACAATCAGAAAAACTTCAAGAACACTGAGATAAACGAGAGTAGGAGATGTTAGCAGCACCACCAATCTTGTTTGTGTGGAGAAAAATGACAAAAAAACCCACAACATAAATGAGTTTGAAAATAGGAGTTAACTCCAGCTAGCTAAAATGGCTAAAAACTACTCACATCCTGCTCCACACATCCCTAAGTTGAAAAAAATAATAAGCAATGCAAGAACTTAACAAGCCAGTGTATGAAGAAACTTTAATTCCTTTGGTGTCTGCAAACAATGCACATCTTAACATTAAAATAATGTGACACTCCTAAAAGACTAAAAACAAATCGTGTGTAAACCCTGTTATGAGTGAAGGTACCAAATTCACAATAGTTTTGCAGGATATTGATAAGATAATGGGCGGATAGATACAGAGGCACAAATTACAGAAAATGTTTTACAAAAAGTAACAAATTGAAAGGTTGATAAAATAGAAGGGAGACAGACAAATCACACACTTACAGTGAAATAGAAAACAAGGGTTAATAAGCAAAGGACAAAAATTAACACCGTAAATATAATTTGCTCGTGAATACAAAGCAATCACTTATCATTAATACTATGATACCTAATAAACATAAATTCAAAATTTCCTGGAATTACAAAGCTAAAAGTGTTTCTACATGAAAGCATGTGTGCTCTTCCTCCTTTCTGGAATGGCTAAAGCCTTACAGTATCTGTAGGTTGAGGCACTTGGAAAGAACGTGATTGTACTTTATGTAGCAATTTTTTTATTTTTATTTTTTTTTTGTGTGTGCATTTGTTCTGCTTTGTGTGAAACGGCGTCCAAAAAGAGCAGCGGCTTAAACCTCATGATCTGAAACTGGATAAAACTGGCTGGTCTTCAAGCCACACGCCGAAACCAAAACTCTTCCAGTTAAGATTAATCTCTTTCTGCTCATCTCACCAACAACTGCGAGGGAATTTTCAAAAGGACCGTCGTAGCACCTTGGGTCTGATGATCAGGGCCGCTTGTTGTCTGGCGCTGCATGGAGCGAACCTCCATGCAGCGCCGCTGAGGACGGTGGAGAAAACGCATTGTAAAAACTGCTTCCAGAAGTGACCCAATCTTTCATTGTTAAATATGGTTTTCTCAAATTAAGCAAAAGATAAAAAAAAAAAAAAATATTAACAATAAAGATGGAGATGCAACTTTTATAGAATTATGAGTGTTCCCTTAAGAATACAACCACAAAACGTTTAGTAAAAAAAATTAAACTTATCAGTTGGATTACATACACAACTGTCACTGCTACATTTGATTTAAAGGGAAAACAAAACATGAATATTCACAGTCAAACATCTTTTAGTGAGTTTTAGGCTCGGTCTTCCAAATGACAGAAACCTTGCACACACCACTTGTTCACAAAACATCATCCTTGATCCCTGGTTTCACAATAATACAATTATTCCATGATGTTCCACACAGCCACAAAAAAGTCCCTCTGCTCTGCAGTCTGGAGACTGACATCAAAGTTCAAGGCAGGCTAGTGATGTCCCGTTTAGGAGGGGGTCCGTCTGGCTTGCAGGGGCTGCTGCTGGCTTTATCTTCAAAAAGCAAAACTCTGATGGGGACAAAGAAAGATAAAAAAAAAATGGATGAAACAGAAAGTAGAAAATACAAAAAGTTTTTCATTGTATCTCTGAGATGCATTGGAGATTATGAGACTTGTGTCAAAGGTGTTCAAGTCCTCTATTTACAGACATTTTTGTACTTTTCCAAGTCTGGAAAACAAATACATTTCAATTTTTTTCCCAGACTGTATCTTAACATTGACGATGATAAAAAATAAATAAATAAGAAAATTTGCTGAAATAAGCATATTTTGTCCGTTTACATCACGTGCTACATAATTGAAGATTACATTTTCCCAAAAATTTCTTAAAAGTCAAACAACTTGGAACCAAAAATGAGGCATGGCCACTGCTCAACAAATAAAATACAACAAATCAAAAGTTCTAATTTTCTTGCTGCAAAAAAATAAAATAAATTAATAAATAAAAAACTTTTCAAATACAAAAATCAGTCAATGTAAATAAATGCAATTTTAAAATGGATTTATGGAAATCTACAGTTACGGCTCACGTGGTGACAAGTGAAAGTAATAAAGGGAAACCTAGAACAACAAAGAGGATAGCACAACACAACAGAGAAAAGGACCTGACATGAGCTATTTAGAGTGAATGCTTGCCTTTAATTTCCTCTTCTGGAAAACTCGGCAAAGCCCCACTAATCCCAGAAGGATCACTGATCCAAACGAGCAAAGCGACACTACTTTCACTTGTCTGCTTTCTTTCTCCTGTCAACACTTACTGACAGCATCTCTGCTCTCCAGGACAGCAGGATGCTAAAACAGATGCACAGATGTGTTAACAGTGTACAAACAACCCAAAACTTAAAAAAAAAAAAAAAAAAAACAAATTCAACATAATCACCTGCTGTTATCAAACTGTAGTAACTCATTGTCCTTTGCCCTAATGTTAACTAAGCACTATTGTTGAGTCTGCCCATAATTGTTTTCCTCTAACGGGAACTAAATCATCTGCTGTTCTCGCAAATGCTTTGAAGAAAACCCCCAAAAACATTCTGCTATAAATTTGTACCCTCAGCTTCGCCCTCAAACTTCCTCCCTTAAAAGATTAAAACAACATGACAAAAGAAAGGCTTTGTAAACAATCACTCTTATCAGCAACTCCAGTGGACTGCAGGCTGTTTAAAGAGCACGCATTAAAAATGAGCGCACACAAAAAGTGGTACAGCATTTTTCTGGCAAATTGACCCTGTTAAAGCTCAGGTTTGACCTGGTATTAATTTAGGTCAGGCTGCTATTTTTAAGGCAAAATGTATTTACTAGTTTACCATTTTTCCCTCTTACAAACAGCACAAATAAACTGGATTTCTGGAAAGCAGAGCTTATCTTGCTAGGATACACAGGAGTGGAAAATAGAAGCAGGAAGAAATGAGACTTTTATAAATAGCATGCTGTGGGATTCGGCGGGATTATGGGATACACTCCCAAATAAAAAAAAAAGAAAGAAAGAAAAACCAAACAGTTGAAGGCAAAGTAGGAAAAGTTTTGCATTCTGATAGATGTTTTTGGGATTATGAGATTAGTCTGGGTTCTGGGGTCCAGTCAGCTTACTGACATGCAGCAGCCATTCTGGCTCTGGTTTGGCATGGCTGACCCAGCGCACAGCTTTAAAAGGCTTAAACCAGCTATATCAACCCATTTAAAAACACAGCAAAAAAGGATCCAATGAGTTTCAGATTTTTTTTTTTTTTCCCTCAGCTTTTACGCGACTTTCAGCAGTTAATCAGCCTAGACTCAGTTACATATGCCTCTAATCGCAGCTAAAGCTAAGGGTGTTGACTGTGGATAGGCTTTCCAAATGGGTTTTGTTGCTATGGTGACTGATAGCAAGTAGGTAGTGACATCACTGCTCATCATGACTGATCCCCCCGGCCCCCTGCAGATGGATGAAGCAGGTAAATGTCAACACTGACCTTGTCCTCAAACACAGCGCACACTGTTCATCAGTAGGTTAATCACAGCTTGCAGAGAAGCACAAGTAGTTATTTTCACAACTAATTCACACGATCACTCACAGTTTAAGCACAGCGGATCGCTTGCCCAGCATCATCTTGACAAAGTCCCTGTAGTTGATGGTGTTGCTGCTGCCGCCGGTCACTTCGACAATCATCTTCTTCAGCTCCAAGTGGGTCTTGGGCACTCCCAGCTTCTCCATCATCCGCTTCAGCCCCATCAAATCTGAGAAGGTGGTGCAGGAAATAATTACATTAGCTGAAGGTCTTTTGCCATCAGTGGATGTTATGTTAATGAAATGTGAAACAAACTGGCTCAAACTGATAAAACCAGTGTTTTATACAACTGAAGGAAAAAGAAATTGTGCTTTTTTTTGTTTTTGTTTGTTTTTTTTAGGGTAGTGCTGGACAATAAATTGTCCCAATAATTATTGTGATAAATTATAATATTGTTGTGCTTGGACTATTTTCGAGTACCACATTGATATTGGCAAAATAATGCTCTAAAAAGTATCAGGACTGTAACAGATTCATACATTAGGAACAATTAAAAAGTTAAGTAAAGCTTCACCATTGACATTAAGTAGTACTAATGAGTGTAATTAATTAGTCTAATCCTACACCAAGAATGAAAAAGTATTTAGAATAAACTTTCTGATGAAAAATGAGTTGAGATGTTTAAAAAATAAAAGAGCCAATGGTGTAAAACTACATGGAAAGCAACACAATTCTTCAAGTCTTTCTAGAAGAAGCAGCTGGCTGCTGAGACATGCCATCCCAGATCAGCAGCTGCAAACGACAGTCACCTCTCCGAAATCTGGGTTTACCACAGCAGTAGACGTGAACAGGAAAAACAAAACTCAAGTTAGAACTACGATGTCAGTGTCCGCAGACAAGCTGGAAGCGCTCAACACCTGTTCACCTCACATCTGCTATGGGCCGAGTGAAGGAGTCTCACTTTACATCGAGGACACAACCGTGACACATGAGCCTGTCTGAGGCCAAACAGTACACACACAAACATGTAGTATTAATTACTGTTCCTTTCTGTCAACACTGCACTTTGGTCAGCCAAGCTGACAATTGTTATGCGAGGGCGGCAGGTGTTTTACAGCTGGTTATTACTCACCAATCTCTCCTTCATCATTCAGGTCAAACTCAGCATATTTATCTGCAAAACAAACACACATGGAGGGATTTTTACTTACAGTGGGAGTTCAATCTCACCTCACACTCCACATCCTGTAGTACAAACAACAATAACTCAGCTGGCATTTGACTTCTCAGCAAAATTCTTGACACACACTGTGCACGGGCCACACGACTCTGCTGACGGTGAACATCTCGAAGTGAGAGCCGTGAGCAGATGACAACAACAGGAGTTTGGGGAGCTTAAGTACTAAAAAAATAGTTTAAAAAGTGCTTAAACTTCAAAAGCAATCGGGATGGGGAATATGTGTGGGCAAAAATTCGATACCAATTATCCTAACGTTTGTATTTTTGGAGTTTGGAAGAATGCTGGAGTAACGTGGGGGAACACATGCAAGCTCCGGGAGAACATGGAAGCTCCCTGCAGAAACACCCTGATTGGTATTTAATCCAGCATTGTCATGCAGCCCTGCAACAGAGCTAGAAGATAATACAACTTTTTAAAAAACTAATGCTAAATTCCATTAGCTTTGAAAGAATCGATGTTTGCAAATTAAATTAATGTAAAAATTGTCCAACGGGGAAACATCTTTACTGCTGTGACGATATCTATTATGATTAACCAACATAGTTTTCTTTCATCACACCACCACTGTTTGTGAGCTTTAGCGTCTCAGCCGATGAAAATATTGATCCACCGTAGAAATGGAGTGAAAGTCCATTCAACAGACCAGATATATTATTGTTTAAGAATTTGAACGTACAGCACTAAATGTTGTATTCAAAGAGTCATTTGCGATTCTGATGACGCACACACTGATATTGTGATGACGTTTCAGTATATTGTGCAGCTCTACTTAGAAACTTAGAAGTTGTTGGTCATAGTTTCTTTAGTTAAAGGCATTTGGAGTTAAATAGTATATTTTTAACTACGTTTGCATCGCCTTAAAACATCATATTTAACACTCCAGGAAGGAGGCAGTTCTGTGTTTCTTCCTTCTTTCCACTTCCCTAGAAGACCCCTTTGGTCAGATTACTCTTGCTATTTCTGTCCCACAATAGACGCTCTGTGTGTGTGTTGGAAGAGAGAGAGAGCGGTGGGGGTGCTGTGTTAACTGTGTGAATCGTTGGGGAAGAGGGACAGGACAATGCCAACCCTGTTCATAAACCCTCAGGAGGGGGCCTCCACGCACACACACATGACGTTTTGAGAGGACCACTTGTAGTGCAGCCTGTTGATCATCTGCAGCCTCAGAAAGGGGCTCAACTCAACACAACTCAAGCCTTCAGTTGTTGCTCCTTTCTGGGTTCCTAAAGCAACTATTGGAACAAAATGACTAATGTGATGCAATGACTTTACTTTTCGCTCATTTGAACGTTTTGTGTCACTGAGGTGCACTTTGATTAGTGAGTTTACTCCTGGCCACGTTTATAACCAACTGTTATCTGAAGAAGCTTTCCATTTTATAGAGGCTTGCTGATAAAATAGCTGAAGCGGACGACAACACAGGAGATCATTTGTGCCATTTTGGCCTGCTGACAAAGAATGTTTCCCATGCCTTCATAAGACTGGCGGACAATGGCCGAGGAACCAGATGGAGCTGCAATAATGGCATCTTTTCATCTAAAACATAGTTTGAATTCCAATCACTATCTTTATTTTTTGGGATATTTGAGACTGGTAAACAGACAATTATATGTCCACTGAATGTAGTATATTTCTTATGAACAGTGATTATAGAGTAAGCAGAAGTTTTCTCAAAAATCTACACATAAATCTTGGGCGAACAGATTAGGAAAGTTCATTAGTAGAGGTTTAAAACCTTAAGTCCACATTTGGGATGTACATAGGTTATGGGATCACGGTACAAGTACATGGTACAAGTTCAAACCTGGGACTTATTTTTCTTCCTATAAAAATAATAAGCTGAAAAATGTATTTGATTTGTGGTTTGCTGATGACTAGTCAAGTGTGTGTCTTTCACCCAATGGCCACCGGAGATAGGCACCAGTTCACCCTTTAAGACTTTTACCAGATAACTAGGTATAGATAATGAATGGATCTTCCTATTCTAGTTAACTTGGGATCAAGTTAATTTAACCTAATAACCTCAACCAAATTGAAAACACACAAAACTAGAAAACACCAGCACCTCGTTCTTGCCAGGTCTCATTGAGAGTGAAATTTTAAAGGCAATGAGACATTTACCCATGTGTAGAAATTAGGGATATAAAATAAAGGTCACTGTTTGCCTTGGAGCAATAGGAATGTGGGTTTGAATCTTTTTTTTAAATAAAGTTAGGATGTTTTCCCCATATAACATGTAAGCATGGGTTTCTTGCAGGTACTCCAGGATCACCTCCATGGTCCAAAAAAACCTTGTTAGGTTAACCAACTTCTGTAAATTGCCATCCGAGTGTGCGTGCACAATATTTATTTGTGCTGCCCTGGTGACCCATGTAAAGCCCAGTGACTGCTGGAGATAGGTACCAGGCTTAAAAATAAGCAGGTGGGTATTCAAGCTTCTGTACATCATTAATGTTAGTAATTTTTGCATTGCTTTGGTGTGGAGAGGCCCGCATCTACGAGTTCTCACAGGACTAAACAAAACCCCGTAAAAACATCTGTGCAGTGTCATGTTACTGCATGTACTGACAAATGAGCTTAGTGTGAACACAGTTACCGTTACAACCCTCCTGATTAGAATATACATACACAAACATTATGATTTAATACCAAAAGGACACTTTTGGCATTAAAAAGAAGTTTGTCGTGTCAAAAACCTGGTAAAATATTTTACGACAAAAAATAAAAAATAAAAGTGAACAATTATGCATGCAAATGATCAGGAGAAACTCAGTGCAGATTTAATGTGTAAGCTTCAAAGTGGTAAAGATGTGAACTGATGGAAATTTACTGGTTGCCAATAGCTGTCAGGGTGTTGACCTTTGGGTCACTGGGACAGTATGGAAAAGAGGAGGAAGGGGAAAAAAACAAAAAGAGCAACCTCCCAGGACCTGGGTGCTGTTTATATGTCACTGCTCCATTTCCTCCAGCAGGCCTGCACTCTAAGTAGGACACTGCGGCATGTTTCCCCATTTCCAGAACTTATTAAGTTAAATAGCCAGATGTCACTCTCTCATGAAAATTACAACCAGAACTTGCATTGAGCAAAGAGGGAGGAAAAAAAAAAAAAAAAAGCACCAGATGCATAAATGTGTAGCGGAGGAGTGGGATGGTGCTTGCGAATCATGCAACTTTGTTTCTGTAATTAGCTAGCAGCAATGTTTTCTCTGTTCCCAGGAGCTCAGAGTTTGCTCAGCAAGGTTCTGAATATTGAAACAACAAGCGGAGGAACGCCCCGGCACATTCCTCTCAGCCCACTGAGAACTTCGCCCGGCAAATCTTTTTGGAAATCACAGCAGTCCGTCTTTCCCACAGAGAGAAGCAAAAATGCTCATGACCAAAGGGGCCGACGCAGACCGCGCAGCGACTAAACAACTGCTGAAGGCACGACAGCAGCAAGAAGAAAAGCACACTTCCTCAAAGGGACAATCAGGCTAGTAGATACTGGGACAGCTGCCGTGAGGAGTGGATTTACTCACTTTTTAAACTTTCCAGTTTCTCTGCCAGGCCTTCTTCATCCCTGTATTTCTGGTCTTCCAGGTATTCCTGAGAAAGATGAAGAGGTGATAAAACTCGAGGAAAATTGGGGATGGGCGACACACATAAAAAGTTTTTGCATGTTACGATGAAACTGAAACACCTCAATACCGTTATGACAGCTTTCTTTAAGTTACCAGGTTCTCACAAATTGCATTGATCTAATTGTATCTTATCTCACGGTGCTCTTTTTCCTGGCTTGTCACCACTTCATTACTGGGGCACCTCATGAGGGAGTAGGAGTGCCTGAAGGGAGCCATTCTAATAAAATGATAATGGTGCAATATGCTGTGTGGGAGTCATCCACCACCGCGAACACAGAGCAGGGAAGACAGAGCGAGTCTGTTTTTCTGCATTGACCTCCGCGCGACTTTGAAGCTTGCAATCAAAGAGGATAACCATCGCAACTGGATGGTTATCAGTGCAGACTGACTCAGCTGACTGCAGCCCTCCCACAGGAAAGTCCTCTCGCAGACAGGAGCATGAAAACGCATCTCGACAAGTGCAGTGCCTGTACATCATATCGTGAAATCTCTTTTGCGGCTGACAATGCCTCACATGAGTCAAAACAAAAAATATTGTACTTCTTCTTTCTCAAGATCCTTATTGAGAGCTCTCTCTGGATTTCCCCTCGTCAAGGTTTTCTACAAATTCTGCACTTCTAGAGTTTTCCTGCAGCTTTTGCAGCATCCTGGAGGACAGAATGCGTGCTGTCCGTTTCACAGGTTTTTTTTTTTTAGCATCAGAAGCAACTTTTATCAGAATCCATCCAATCTGGACTGCGTTTCTCTAAATGCACACAAACCCATTCAACACATTAGAATATTACTGATTATTAAGTGAATTTATTTTAGTAACTATCGACAAGTCAAACACATTATATAGATTAATTAGACTGGGTGATATTTTTACACCTTTATTTCTCAATCACAGTGATTTTTTTTTGCTAACAGCTGATGAAAAGAACATTAAAATCAGAATAATCCATCAGGAAAAAAAAAATCTTCAAAACGAAAATGCGGGCTTAATAAAAAGTGTGATTAATATTTACTTAAAGGTTATTTTAAAAGGTATTTTTAATCTAACAAACAAGACTTGTCAGGGTGCACATTCTAATTCAATGAATATTTTAACCTCATACTCTACAAGTTTCTTAAAAGTGTGTGTTTTTGCTGTCAGTCTCTCTTCTAAGTTGAGAATGTTATTCTGGAGTGTACATAGTGTGCAACAATTTGAGCCTGTGTGTACTTTAATTTCAGTATAAATACAGCAGCTCATAAACGTGTGGATCATGAAGACTGTTACACAACCCGGACAGTTCAGGGAGACGTTTATAACAAGGCGAGGTTATAAAACAACAATAAAAAAAGTTAATTATCTAGAGAAGCAGTCAAGAGTACAATGGTAATTGGAGGAGCAGCAGAGATACGTAGCTCAGGTGGGAGAATATGTCAAAATGACTAAGTTATGCATTCACAAATGGGGGTTTTATTGGAAGTGCCAGTCATGAAAGAACAATATTTTTTGCAGTTTTGCACAGGCCAAGTAGGGGACAAGAAAGTCATGTGGAAGAACGAACTCTGGTCGAATGGGTCACAAATGCATCAGAATTTTTCACTCTTTTTGGACAACGTGCCTAATAACGGAAAACCAAGTGCTCGTAATCTTAAACACACCAGCACCGTTCTGAAACATGATGGAAGCAGCTTCATACTGCATACATACTTCAGATATGATGGACAAGCTGGTCAGAGTTGACAGGAAGGTAGATGGAGCTAAAAACAAGGCGACACTGGAAGGAAACCAGTTTGGCGACGGCAGATTTCAGACTAGGTTGGAGGCCTGCCTTCCAGCAGAACATACAGCAAAACCTGCCAAGGGGTGGTTGAGATCAGAGCATGTTATTGTGTCTGGATAAAACCTAGACCGACCAAAATCAAGTTGATAATCTGTATTGATGTTGACAGACACTCTTTATGAAATCTGCAGGAGATTGAGGCAGTTTTCCAAGGAAGAACAGAAAACATTTCAGAGTTGGGTGTGCAAATCTAGAGGGATACCCAACAAAGTGTTGCAGCTGTAAATATAGCAAAAGCTATCATTTAGAGGATTTGAGGACATAGCTTGTACATAAATTTAAAAAAAAAAGCACGCATCCTTTTCTTCTTTGTGTTGGTCTACAACATAAAACATAGATTTTTTTTTTTCTGGTTGAAACAAAGAGTATGAATACTTTTAGATGGCACTGTAAATATCCTAATACATTTGTCCTTCTGCACCGTAAAATGAAACAGATACAGAGCAAAAGTCAATGATTCGCACACGGTTTTGCGGTATTATCAGATCCCGAAGAACCATTGGGCACGCTGGGGTCATCTCACCTCCCATTTCTCTAATTACCAAACAAAGAGCGCGTTATCTTTAGATAACGGGAACAAGGAGTGCCATGCAGTAAAGTGTAACAAGCTGCAGCGACTGTTTTCCACGCGGCTGCTGCAGCGGTGAGCTGATAACAGGCGGCAGGCAAGGGTGTATAAAGGAGGGACGCACAGATTATGGGAAAATCTGGTTAATCTGAGGGGCCACTGCAGATATCTGACGAGAACAGGCCTCGGCGCGAAACAAAGAGCCCATTCGGACACCTGTTCCACCATAATGGGAAGGAGGGAGAAGGCAGAGCAGCTACAACAGATCGATGCGATCGGGTCAGAGGGAAACAGTTCCCAAAGGCATTCATGTGCGAAGGTATGCGGTCATTCAACAAGTGCCAAGACACTACAAGGTGGCAATAAATCAATAAAAAATTTATTACTGTTAGTGCAGCGGCCAGATACACTCAAATATGAACTATGTTTCAGGAATTCATCTATCATAGGGGCGGAGAAGAGGCTCCTCTGCCGGGAATCCTCAGCAAGCCGCCGGGGCTGCTGCACGTTCAAAAACAAGGCCAATGCCAAGTCAAGTGTACACGACCTCATTAACTCAGATGCTGTTAGAGAGGCTCGCAGAAAGACTACACTCCTACCTTATTTATTTCCTCCAGTTTCTGTCTCTGCTGCTCCTTCAACAGACCGAAAGCTTTCCCACCTAAAAACAAACAGAAGGTTAAGGTTATTCTAACGATAGATGCAATAATGCCGCCTCTAGCTAGTCTTGCCAGTCGGCCTGCGACGCTCTATTGTAAAGACTCAAAGCTTTAGCTAATGGTAGACAACAATATATATATAAAATTATTCCGAGTCGCTTTTCTTCTTTACCTTGCATGTTTTTATTTGAAGGCATCCTGGAATTTATTGCTGAGGTTCAGAGAGAGAGAAAACACTAAAATATCCGGGCCAGCAGGCTGCCGCAACTGTACGCAGGGGTATTATTCCTATTTAAAGATTGGGCTCAATGGGCCACTCGGCACCGGCGTCAAGTGTGACGCAATCATAAACACGACATCCGGCCGGGCTTTTCAAAATAAAGTAGTAATAATTAATAATAAACTAATAGTTAACTAATAATTCTAATTACACTTAAGAAACATTCATTCTTATCATTTATTAATAAACAGGTTGCATAAGCAGGTTGTTTTTATTTTTTAGAAAACAACATAGAAATAGCATAACAGTTTATAATTAAATTATTGGTTAATAATCCTTTTTTTTCATAATATAGCAACCTTTTCTTCCTACTCTATGAACATACCACCCACTTCTTGTTTAGATGTGATTGCCATTATGGAATACCAGTATAAGACGAGCAGCACCATTCTCAAAGTAAAACCCTAGGTGAACTAAGGGGGAAAAAAAACATAACTCCCCTTTCACATAAACATATAACAGAAAGTACACTTGGCCACCACTCTCTATACACAAAAATGAAGTGTAAATAACATCAATTCACATTCTACAAGATACAATTACCTAAACCTAAATTGGAGAGGCCAGAAAAATGATTATGTCATAGAATAATGCATATATTTGAAATATGAACTATAAAACCCTACTACTATCAGATATTGATTAATAGTAGTTGTAAGAGCTCTGTTTAGGCCTTTAGTCAGACTCAAACTATATATGTTATCATTAAAGAAACTCCAAGGTTTTCTTCTATCTTTGTGAGCCACCCACAACACTATGTTAAATAAATAACCAGAAATGTTTTTTTTTTTTTTAAAAATCCGATATTGACCTTATAAAGTCCGCACACGTTTTCTCCTGTCAAAATAAGCTGAAGTCAACCTTTATTTTGAAAGTAACAACATCTAATTTCCGGTTTTATTGTACAGAAACCTGTCCTCAGGCTGGAACTGATGCTGAAGTAGTAAATCAGGGCATCTTACGCTTATCACGCTGGCGCTCGCCATCATGTGGAGCATGATAAAACTGCATAAATTAAGGGCGTCACCTATTCATGACAAAGATAAATGAAAAAGAAGGCAGACTTTAAGATTGAAATTAAGTGAACAGGACAAGTATTAAACCTGCTTTCTTTATATTTAAATAAAATAAAAAATCTCTAGATCAAACCCCTCCGTTATACTTTTAACCGTTTAGTACAGTGAAATATTTTGTAAATAAAAACATAATTTCTGTTGCATTGGAGATTTAATATACTGTCGTGAAACCTGGCTGGAACT